AAACCCTATACCGGGAATCCAAGGTGGGACGATGGGACGGCTGGGGCGTGGTCTTCCAAATGCGCTTGAAGGACACTGCCACGTTGGCGGTGCGTTTCATTGCATGCTACGTAAACAGATAGAGGGAAATTAAGTTGGGTCGGCAGACTCCTTAGCAGCGGATGCAATACGATACGATGCCCCTGTGTTCTGGTGATGCCTTTGTCTCCAGTTAACGTTTGCGGGTCTCGCTCCTAACCAATCGTCCAGTCCACGGCAGCACGTCTTTTCTCTTCTATGATGCGCCTCAACATTTGGAAAGTATATGTATGCCGCAGCACAGAAGTAAGTTGTGCTGACGCTTACTCTGCTCTTGGCCCCAAGTTACTTTTCTATAACGAGCATATGTGACATGCTTCCAGATTTGAATGAATGTAGCGGCCCGGGTCTCCACGACTGTGACGAGAATGCCGTATGCAGTAATGTGTTGGTAGCTTTCTCTGCCGCTGCCAGCCGGGATACGACGATAGGTACGTAAGCATGGCCGCGACCTGCCGGCGAAATGCCGACAGACACGCTAGGCTTAGCAGGAGGTCAGCCGGACTGAGAGATGACGTTGTCAGTTGTGGCCGGCACGACCGGCAGTTTCGAAGCCAAAAAAGCGTAAATCAAGGCGTAAATCGTCACTTGAAGCTGTGTGTTCGGCGTTGTTTTGGTGACGTCTTTAGCAATACTTGGCGGTGTTGCAAGTAGTGATAGACAGGTGGGCACGAGGCTACCAGGCGCCGATGGTCGCCGGAAGCGGGTATTGGAGTCAGGCGGCACGGTGCGGTGTGGCTAGCGCGCGGAGGGCCCGACTGAGGACCACCACCTACCCCCCAGGTACCGAAGCGACGTGGCGCGGGCGGGCCGCCACTGCGAGTCCTGCTCAGAGGACTTCTGCGGCGGCCACGGCACCTGCCAGATCAACGACGGACAAAAGTCCTGCCTGTAAGACACGGTTCAGTGCCGCGCCGCTGGGCGACGGCCCGGATAGAGCGAGCGGTGCGCAAAGCCAACCTTCCCGCTACATGGGCTAGTATATACCATAATAGAGCATGGCTACAACACATGGATGCAGCAATATCGGGATTAGCGTCAGCCGAAGATCGCGAACGGCGAAACAATGTACGGAAGGCGGCATGGTTTGTAAACCACCGGTGAATGTCAGTGGGACGGCCAGACGGTGGACCTCGTAGTGTAGCTTCGTCTTTCTCTCGACAGATGTCGCGGCTCATACTACGGGGCGCGCTGTGACATTGACGGCGAGGTGCTGGGCGCGGCGCTGGGTGCCACGGCCGCCGCCGCTCTCGTCATCATAGCCACCTTCATCGGGCTCTGCAAGTGGAGGTAACGATGCGGCTGTTGAACGTCGTCGCCACGCGACGAGAGGACACCGACAGGTGCAGTTACCGTTACGCGGGGTGGGGGCGTGAACATTATCCTTGTCGGGAAAACGATTATCTTCACATACCATGTCAGCAAGTCGAAGTAGTATGTTACAACGGGAAATAATTTACCTAATCAGCTGGTGACAGGGGTGGATGGGGCAAGCGTCACCATATGCACCGATCGCTGCGGCTCAAACGCACCCGATCTGATGACTCGTCCCTTTCACCGGCCATCACCAGCTCGCGCTGTTCTGCCGGTGTGAGCTCGAGCCAGCTCTGCCGCCACCCTCCCTGACCTGCCGCTATCGTCCTCCGCAGCAAACGCTGGCACAAGGGCCAGAGCGACGGCAAGGCGGAGGTGGGCTCGCTGGCCGTGCCGGGTGGCTTCGGCTACGGGAAGCCGGGCGGCGGCCTGGGGCCGGCGGGCTTCCCGCCCGTCAGGGAGGACAGACTGCGCTGGGCCCGGCTGGCTGACACCATGGCTCAGCAGAACATCTACGCGGTGAGCGGACGGCGTGGAGCAGGACGCAGGCGACGATCGCCAGCGCGCCGTGCCGAGCACCACGGCCGTGTGTAGATGTGCTCGTGTAGATAGACGTGCGGGGCTACAGGGCTGATGCATGAGTGGAGTATTTCCGTGGATGTGGACAGGGCCGGTGTAGTGGGATGCATAGCGTTGGTAAGCTGAGGAATAGTCGTAGTGCCTCCTGTTTACTCGCTTTGTAGCGCTGACTATTCACCGTGCTTAGGTAGTAGCGGATTCTGTGTTCTAGCTGTTGAGAACTAGTCGTCACAGGTTATGTCAGGGAGGGTCCGTCCTCGTCTGTATCTGGTCTCAATGTCAGCAGGCGGCTTGTTTCCCGTGTTAGTCGCTCGCTGACAGCTCTAGACTGTCGCCACTTTCTGTAGCCGATACGTGACAATGACCGTCCTCGACTCGACGCTGCCGCTCGGACGCCGACGACGCGCGGCGCCGGCCGCGTGTGACCCAGACCTGAGCCGCTGCCGCCTGACGCCGCCAGGTGGCGCTCGCTCCCCTGTACGCCGCCCCCCTGGCGGTGGAGCGGCGCGGCGCGCTGCTGCCGCTCGGCCGAGCGCCGCCGGCGGCCGGACCCGCGCCTCGGCGGGGCTCGGCCGCCGGCGCCAGCCTCGCGCTCTCGCTGCCGCCCCGAGCGGCGGCGCGCGCCGAGCCGGCGCCGGCGGAGGCACGCTAGCCGCAGCGGCCGGCGCCGACACGGCCCCGACCCGGCGCCGGAGCCGGCCGCGGCGGCGGTGGGGCCGGGCCGGCCGGTGGCGCTGGAGGCGAGGGTAGGCCGGCACAGCCTGCAGCTGGGCCAGCGCCACTGCCGGACACCCCGACTGACCTCTCACTGGCAGACGGGACACTGGGACGCCGACCTGACTAGGTTTGGTGGAAAGTCCACCGATAAAGTTAGTACCACGCATGGCAAGGATGTGTATTGGGAAATTAACCTGCTTGCGCTGATGTTGAGAAATTATTGCTGATACATGCGTCACTTATGATCTGCATATTTTGGTCTGTGATACTTTCACATAAGTTATCGTTGTTTGGAGGCAGTAAGTCTTAAGTTACATACGAAAATGTAAATCAACCTTGAAAGTCTTAATTAGATGAACTTAAACAAGGAGACGGTTTAACTGGCATTTGCTCTTATCAAGTTCCCTGTTGGGGGAATTGACTACAATAAAGCTAGTTCGGACGTCATGTTGGTATCACAGAAGAGAGCCAACTTCCCTCTATGTTTCACCAGTCTTGCGGCATTGGGGGCACTTCGGCACATTGCATCCAGTGATGATAGACATTCCTTTTTTAACTTCGACCGCACGGAAACGGGATGAGACAAATCCGCAGAAGATGAGACAAATCCGCAGAATGGAACGCGTGATACCTCACCTCTCTCCATTTCTATGACGACGGAAGACTGACAAAAGACCCGGCGCGATGTGGAGTGTTGCATGCATTTTGCGGGCATGTGTGCAACGGAATCCTTGCGTATTGCACTTATCTTGTTGACTTATCCTTATGGCTTACCTAGCCGCTTTGGAAAAATGTTCACCCACGCCTCTAGTAACAACGCATGAGCTGAAGATCTTCTTGCGCACTGTAACACCGTATGTGCGTGCTGGGCTGGCGGTTTTTTCTTCTCTTGCCAGGATCTGGGGACGCCTTACACATCGGTGACGATGGCTAACTCGCCGATCAATCAAGATGTTGTGCTTCCAGACTCCGATCAATCCAGACTTTGCCGTGTCAATATCCCCCTGTCCGATATTTGCTGTGAGCCTGTGACTGTCCACTGACCAGGTTATGCTGACCGTTGTCTTACCGTACACACGTGAGAAGGTCTGTACTTGGCCCATGCTGATAAGCCCGCGTAAGGCGCGATCAGCTCTCAGATGACCGTCGCATGATTTTCTACCATGCTGGCTTGTCCTGGCCGTCGTCTCCACTGACCTTCTGCTTGTACCTGGTCTGCTAAGGCGCGATCAGCTCTCAGATGACCGTCGCATGATTTTCTACCATGCTGGCTTGTCCTGGCCGTCGTCTCCACTGACCGTCTGCCTGTACCTGGTCTGCCAGCCGGAGCCGATGTTCGGCGGTCCACCCCACTCCCAGCTGCCGCCGTACGGCGCCCAGGCCGGCCTTGGAGCAGGCACGCTGAGGGACGGGCCCGCCAGCCTCGGTATGGCAGGTGAGTCGCGCAGGGTGTACAGGCGCCGGCCGCAATGAATGGGTAGTCATGTCGGGTGGCCTTGAAATCTCTGCTGAGCTATGCGTGTGTTTAAATTTGCATCATCATTCTAATTGAACGGGTGTCGTGTAATGCTCCCAGGGTTCTCGAAAATAGGCGAAGGTCTCCCATGAGATTTATTCGTACTTCAAGGTGGTTTTTGCTTGCTGGCTTTGGGCAAGATTAGGTGGACGTGGTTTACACATCTGATGCCGCTTATCACCTCCTTCAGATGGGAGACGTATGCCCGTAGCCTCCTCCGAGTCCTTTGTGAGCCCTAATGTCCCGTCCCTGACCGCGCACCCCGCGTCGGCAGGCGGTCGTCCGGTGTTCGTGGCGCCAGTGCGCCGCTCGGTGACGCCGGTGACGCTGCCGGAGCGGCCGGCGCCGGGCCGCGGCAGTCGCACGCCCGTGCCGCTGCCCGACTACGACGACGACCGGGACGAGCGGCAGTCGTGTGTCAGCGGCTACCGGCCCGTGCGGCCTCGCTCCCGCGGCTCGGTCGCCCCGGTCAGTGGAGAGATGGCCGTCGTCGCCCCCGCCCCCCGCCCCGACCCCCGCACTCATCTCTGACCATAGCGTTGACACGCTGTCTGTCTGTCTGTTCACGGGTGATCGCACTGCCCTCCAGTCACAGCTGCAGCAAGGAATCAAACTTATGCGCGGAAGTCCGACGAGCTACCGAGTCGTGTGCCATTGCTCTGGGGGAGCTTATGGGTCTGGGGGATGTGTTTCGTAGACATCAGGCATGCATGCAGGGGGTTAAGGCATGACAACATATCACGTGGAGAACATGCTTGTCGAGTGTCTGGGTGGGCTCGCATGTGTCGTGTTTTGCGGATGTATGCATGATCTCTTTGCACCGTGACTGCTTTGCCGTGGTTGGTGGCACGAAAAGCAGTGTATTTGGATGGTGGTGATCAGTTTCATGCGTCATTCCAAGAAAGGAAAGCACTCTGAATCAGACCGACCGCTGACGTGGGCTCCGTCCCGTTTACAGTACTACTGTCCGCACACATCCCGTGGGAGTCACCCTGCTGCTCCCGCCAGCCGGTCCTCCTTCCGACACCGGTCCGGCTCGACCCATGACCTGGTCCTAGGCCCCGTCTCTCGCCGCAGCTCGGCTCGCTGTGTCTCCCGGTGCGCTCTGCCCGGAGGCACCCCGCCGCCCCGACCCGACGGCCGCAACCGCGACCCCAACCCTGACCCTGACGGCGACCGAGGCCCTGACCGTGACCGTGACCGTGACCGTGACCGTGACCGTGACCCTGGCCGAGACCGAGACCGTGACGACAGTCTCAGACTGGGTGAGAGGAACGACAGCAGGAGGCTGGCCTGGGAAGGTATGACGCAGGTACGGGGCTCGTCAGAAGGTTTATGGGCGTACAACGCTGGGGCTCAGACTGGCGGGCATGATGGGTGATCCTAGAAGGAGTGCATGACCATTTTTCGAGGGCAGCACGCTAAGGGTCCATGGATGTTGCAAAGGCCAGCACAGTAGGGAAATGCTTCCTGAAAGACGCTGTGACTGACATGGTGTTGGGGGTTTCTCACAGTGCGCAATGAGAGTATGTGGTAGCAATACCATGGCACATCCATTTAGCCTGAGTTAAATCTTGAAGACGTATTTGTGCTTACTCGCCCGTTTATAAAGTAGATTATGTATGCGTACTTAGCAAGGTGTTCATGTGTGTTGTAACATGTTTGATGCGTTGAACATCGCGTGCTGTAGTTTGAGGAGGCTGTTGCAATGTTTTGACTGCCGCGCTTTCAGATTACGAGGGCTACACATCAGGTTGTTGTCATACTCTGTCGCCGCATCGCATCATATCGACACGTGACACTGCCTTTACATACACCCGTGATACTCGTGAGAAACACCTGCATCGTGGGAGACGCTGGCGGTCATGACCGTGTGGGCGCAGGCGTCGCAGCTGGAAGTGTGCATCTCCCGCCGACACTGTTCTCGTCCGGCAGAACCAGAGCCTGGTGTATTACGACATACACGACTTTGAGCAGCGGGACATGGGTCGCGGCACGACGCGGGGACAGCCGCCAGCGCCGCTCTCCACCTACAGCAGCCGAACCAGCAACTACTTCAGGTAGACACGTGATCAGGGGGCCCGGAGCGGGGCGCGCAGAGGCCGTGACTGCGTGTGGAGAGAGGGCCGAGACATGCTGCCGGCCCGACGGGGGACTCTGTCGACAGAGAGTGGCGGTGCTTTACGGCGCTGTACCCGTTGTGGAGTGGTGAGACAGAACGTGTGGAGGGCCTCGGGCAGTGTGGAGGGCCTCGGGCAGTGTGGTGGACCTCGGGCAGTGTGGTGGGCCTCGGGCAGTGTGGTGAGCCTGAGCACGACTCCAAAGGCTGGCCGCTGCAGTTGCAAGGAATAGGTGTATTCAAAGAGTGGAGACTTGGTATGTTCAGCTTGGAGACTTGCCCGGTCTCCCGAAGACAGGCGTTTTGTTCCGTGCCGATGGGCGACTTGTGAGCATCCATGAGTGAATGGGTAGAGTGTGCTGATTTGAAAAATGTGTGAGCATCGAAGTAGCTCTTTTCGTACGGCGCCCAATGTGTTTGTCAATGTGCAACACAAATACATTATTCAACATGCCAAGCGAACTGTTTAAATCACGCTGAAACACTGCCTCGGCGTCCACTCACAGTCTGGCGAATAACCACTACGGAACACTCAGACATTCCCCGACGTCTTCCACTTCAAGTCACAGGATAGTATGACATGAATAACTACGCTCCGATCATTTTGAACCCATCTTGCGCTATTCGCCGCTCAAACATGATTCCCTCAGACTAGAATGGAACAGCATGCGGTTTCCCGTCGTTCCGCCGATGGACGCTATACTGATTTTCAACTCCTTCAATTTCGCTCATCACCTGTTTGAAAAGGCCGACCATGTTGCACTCACCACTGCCACTAGATTCTGGTGTTTCAGTCAATGGAAGCTGGAGCGGGGTCATTTTACACCGCCCTGTAAGTTAAATAGGCACGGGGGATCCTTGTCGTGCCACGAAGCTCCTCGACACAGAGCTGTATGGTGGACACTCGCAGCAACATGTGAGACGGGTCTGTCTTTTGAATGTGACGTCCATCCTGTCACTTATCGCCTCCGCCCTAAACTGGCCTCGGCCTGATGGACTCGTACTCGCATTGATTTTCGTGCATGACCTATATGAGATCCCAGACACCGTTTGCCGGCTGCTGGTCAGGCCCTCTGACCATACCCGTCACCCATCACTGTTCAAGCACATGTGTCGGTGCGCACAGCCAGCTCAACATCCATACAGACTGTCCTCCAGGGCGTTTTCGCCCAGGTGTACGTGACACCCGATGCAAGCTGCCGTGCCCCGTACACGAGTGAATGCCTGAACTAGCAGTCAAACTGACTGCAGCCGTTGTGGAGGGGTCAGCCACGCTCGGTGAGGCTGACCCCAGCCCAAGTGGTAGCTGGTAAACACCACGAAACGAGCCGAGCGATCCCTACTGACTTTTACAAAAGTTCAGCAGGGCATCGCCGCAGAGCGCATCCCCAGTTGAGTGGGAAGCCCGCCCTGGTGGAGCCGAAGTCGCCCTAGTTGAGCTGGAAGCCGCCCATGTCCGTGGCGGTGACCTCGATCACGTGGCTGGCTTGCGAGTGCTGGGATTGGCGCGCCGCCAGCTCTAGCGCCTCGTCTAGGAACTGCTGCACGCGTTCGCGGTAGTCAAGCGTGCTGGTGGCCGGCAGGCCGTTCTCGGCGCAGAGCGGGTTGACTCGGGTCACCTGGCAGCCGGGCGGCGGGCAGGGCGCGCCGCTCACCAGGGCGGGCGGCGCCGGCCGCGTCAGCGAGAACTCGGGCGCCCGCCAGCCGCGCCAGGCCACGCGCGCCGTCAGCAGAGACCAGGAGAGCTCGAGCAGCGCCGTCACCAGCAGGTTGGCGCTGGCGGCGGCCAGCGTCTGGCGGCGCTCCTCGTCCGGGGAGAAGGACTCGTGGAAGGGCATGGCGGCGGCGGCGCGGCGCCGCTCCTCCAGCCGCAGCCAGCGCTGTACCAGTCCGGTGACGGTCAGCGCCGCTAGCAGAGCCGCGCCGGCCGCCGACAGCGCCGACAGCGCGCAGAACCAGCGGATGTACGCGTTGACGTACCAACGACGGCCGGCCAGCGCGCCCAGTGCGCCCGTCGTAGCGAACAGCAGCCAGAGCCAGGCGGCGGCGCCATGGCGCTGCGCCTCGGGCTCACGCCACAGCGCCAGCGCGCCGAACAGCAGCGCCAACGCCGCCAGCACCAGGTGCACCAGGCCCAGCCCCAGCACCGTGTCGGCCGAGTACTTGTGCTCACTGGGCGGCACCGGCCCGGGCCCAGCGGCGGCACGCAGTCGGATCACGAAGATCTCCTCCATGGCGCGTCAGCTGGCGACACTGCCGTGACGGACGTCTCATCGACAGCACTGCCTGTAGGTCTTCTCAGCCGGTGACGCTCGGCGCGGACTCTCAGCTCGATTCCACCTGCTCTAGCAGTCACCGGTGCCGCCAGTACTGGAGCCCAGTCACCGGTACCGCGCAGGCCACTCGTGGGAAGCTACGGCCGGGCTCGCAGTTCGCGATCAGTTCAGGTGAAAGGCCGCCTCAGACCCGCTTCCATTCCGCTGTGGCTCTCTGCAGTTCATCCAATCCGCGACATTCACCCATTCGAATAACTCCACCTTCAGTGTCTCTATATCCGGTATGAGGTCCTCGCGCAAGCGCAGGGTCGCTTCAGTCACTCAACCCCAGCGGCTCCCACGTCTACCGCCACGTCTACCCCACGTCACCGGCGCGGAGTCAGGGGTAGCCGGTGCCGCTGAGGAGGGCCCGCTGGCGACGCAGGTCGGACGGTGCGATCCGGCAGCAGCTGGATGCCACCATGCCGATGACGAGCAGGATGACGTTGATGACGCCGAGGCAGACCTCGCCGCCGCCGAGGATGTCGACGAGCAGGCCCGAGTGACGGCGCGTACCCAGGTGGCCGATGATGATCAGCCCGGCGCTGGCCAGCAGGCTGAGCGAGGACAGCACCAGGAAGCCTGCCGGTAGGCCGGAGGTAGATCACCGGGCTACACTTGACAGAACACAGGGAACCCACCAGGACCGGGCCATTCTCACCACACTGCATTTAACAGCACTGTCAGAGCATGTGTCGGAAGTGACCACTCAGTGAGGTGCATTCGGCGGCTTACTCGGAAGCCTTAATCTAGCCAGTGTAGAGGGATCCTGCCCCACCGACCGCAGCGAGTGTTTACAATGACGACAGCTGTGATTAGGGTAACTGTAACGGCAAATCATTAAAGGCACACGAAGTGTGTGGCTTAGCACTTCATTATGATACCGTGCCGGAGAACACCGCTTTAAGAACAGGGTCACTTTCACCTCGCGCAGCGAATGGACCAACACAATCAGCCAGACCAGCTGCGCACCATTCAAACGGCGCCAGCACCTACAGCGGGCCGTCACTCGCGCACCACAGCCGACGGCGGCGTCAGCGCTCGCCGCTCCCCGTCGAACTGGGACGCTTCCAGGGACGAGAGAGCCGGCGGGCGCTGTCGGCCTTCCTATGGCTGCACAAATCTATGGCCACCCCAGCGAGCGGGCGGCGCGAGCGGCGGTGTCGGACTTCGCGGCGCGGTCCCAGAGCAGCTGCTCCACGTTCACCGCGCACGAGAGGGCACGCCTCACTGAGTGAGGCATGCCGTCCCGTGAAATGACGTGAACCTCACGCCTGGGCTGAGTGTCTTCAGCGGCCGGCGAGGTCTGGGCAGGGGTCTGCGATGCTGCTGTTGGCTTTTCATGCACACTCGTTCTGGCCATGTGGGAGACTCCTGCAGTCGCCGAGCCAAGCGTCTCGCGTGCCGCCCAACGGTATTGGTACCATTGCAAAGTGATGAAATATACCGGGCATGAATATTTTGTTGATCTACTGCAGGGTCACAATTGCAATGGCCGATTATGTGATCAATGGTGTCGCGGGGAAGGCTGCTCGCTTAGTTAAATCTAAATGGGTGGAGATTTTCCGCCATGGTGGCAATGCTAAACGTAGTGTCTAACAGAGACAAAAGTGTCACTCTCCTGCACTGCCCTGGCCCGTCTGCCTGCATCCCCGAGATACACGTTCATGTCACGTAGAGCCGTGTAGACCGGTCGGTGAGTTGTATGATGCCTTCACGGCAGTGATGTTCGGCCCCAGCTCTGCCGCCAGCTGACCATGCGCAGCACCGCACGTAAGGCGGCGCTGACCTGTCGCGCACCTCTGACGGCGGCGCAGCTGGTGAAGCGGCGGGCCGCAGCACCACACGTAAGGCGGCGCTGACCTGTCACGCACCTCTGACGGCGGCGCAGCTGGTGAAGCGACGGGCCGCCACCACTCCGGAAACGCCCGTCCAGAAGACGATCAGGCCAGAGATGGCCGCCGAGCCCAGGTAGAACTGGCCGCCGCCCTGCGGACAACAGCTGGCTCACGACACACGCACGTGAACAGCAGCGAGCAGTGGCGAAATAGAGGACGTGCACATGTACAATTTCAGTAAACAAACCAGAACGCAAAACATCGGCACTAAAAAACTGGTCCGCATTGTACCGTCCCGCAGAACACTGGTCAACTGCTGTAAATAATTCGATAACAGGCAGACAAGATGCAACGCTTATGCTTACTAGATGAAGGTAGCTAATTAGCGTGGCACCTGTAGCACGAGCACACGTCTGTATCTACTTGTGAAAGCATGCCAAGTACCGTGCTAACCACAACTCCCCCGAGTTTTTTTTTATTGCCTGGTCTCCTTATGGAGGCCAGCTAGGCCTATGTCGATCTGGCGTAAGGTATGCTACACTATCCCGTGCTTCGGTGCAACAAACTCTGGTGCGGAGAGATGCCGTACATTTGTCACACTCGCGTCACATGAGCCATGACAGAACAGCACATTCCGCACGTCACAAAACTGTCCGGCCGTCACCACAGCACCGGCCAAGGACAGTGTGGGTCGGAGACATGGACGGATGGTGGGTGACTATGAGGACAAGCACGAATACACACGGCCGGAAGTCACCACTCCACCCAGCTGAAAGCTATGCAGGCGGGACG